TATCCATCATACTATGGAGGGTATATTAATTTTGTCATTCCGTTTGTAACTCCTCGAAATACTCATGTCAGACCCAACAAAGTATATATATTCTTGATCAGCGTAAAATTATGAGACGATTCAGCCATCTCCGTCTGTCTGTCTGTCTATCTGTTGTAATCACGCTATCTTTCGAAAAAATGGAGATAGAAGGCTAACTTTTTGCAGACATGTATATTTTGCCAGTAGGCAGGTTAAGTTCGTAAATGGACCATGTAGGTCCAAGTTATCATATAGTACCTCCCGATATTCGGTATTTTGATAATTTTAGCGACTTTACTTGCCGGAATTGTTTCAAATTTGGAATTTGAAGTTCGTAATGGATTCTACAGCCTGAGACAGAAAATTATCTGTGCAGGTCCACGTCTTCGTATAGCCCCCACATAACGATACCCCCCGATATTCGGTATTTTGATGATTTTAGCGACATTATTTACCGGAATAGTTTTAAATTTGGCATTTGAAGTACGTAATGGATACTAAAGCCTAAGACAGAAAATTATCTGTGTAGGTCCACGTCTTCGTATAGCCCCCATATAACGGTACCCCCTGATATTCGATACTTTGAATTTGGTACAATTTAAAGTTCGTAATAGATACTGCAACATAAAACAGAAAGTGGGCCATGTAGGTCCACGTCTTCGTATAGCTCCCCATATATACCCCCCGATATTCGGTATTTTGATGATTATAGCGACATTATTTACCGGGATTGTTTTAAATTTCGCATGTGAAGTTCATAATGGATACTTTAGCCCATATAAAGGTACCCCCTATATTCGGTATTTTGATGTTTTAGCTACATTATAAACAGATTTTTCTTTATGTTTCGCATTTAATATCTAATGACAAAAGTTGCCTATCCAGGTCCACGTCGTCGTATAGGCATTCGGTATTTTTAATATTTTAACAGAATTTTTAACGAATTTTATTTATTTATTTTTTTTTTTTTTGGAAATTGCTAAATTTCTACCAAATGGTGGAGGGTATTAAAAGTTCGGCTTTTTTACTTGTTCGAAACTGTTTTTATCTAAAAATGTTCTATATATATTTAAATATTTCGCACGAACGCCATCTACACTTCATTTTTGAAATTTCTCAGATACCCATAAATTTTTCCTAACTGTTTTTTTGGAGGCTTGCTCTCTTTAGAAACTCATACTTAAAATATCTATGAAATCCTGAAATATATTGAACAGAGGCAAATATCTTAGCTTACAGATGATATTGCTATAGAGCACTTTGCTACGAAAGGTACACATTTAAATATGGTATACAGATATCCATATAAAAATAAACTAAAACAGTGAGGACCTCACCTAACACCTAAAAACAGAATATTGATGTTTTACCGAATACAGTTCATGTTAGACAATATTCTAATGAACGCCCTCTATTCTTCAGGTATTTTGGAGTATTTTTCGAAACTAAATTAGTTTATAGACTTGACACAATGCATTAAAAAAATGATTTATGAGTGTAATATATAGAGGCGCAGCTCATAAAAAGGCATGTTATTGACAAAAGTACATTTATAGAGCAGCATGACAAATATCATCAGATTCAGATACAGACATTGTAAAATCGTTGGAAATTTATAAAAATTGTAATTTTGAACTATATATTAACTAATGCCATTTATACTTAAAGAAACCTGTTATTGTAGCCTTGGATACTAAGAACACACTAAATAAACGCATTAAAAAATGTCCTTAATTTTAATTTATCGTTTCTAATGATTGGGGTAAAGAACGCCATCTATACCTTATATTTGTTATAAACTTTTATTTAAGCCATAATCCGCAGTACAAAATCAGGGATCTAAATTTCGCTCTTGCCGATATTGAAATTGTATAAAAGGATTACAATTGGTGTGAGGTTTGAAAAATGATTCGGGTTTTTGGAAATCGAAGTTATATAATTAATTACAACAATGAAAGACCTAGAATAAAATATAAGATAATGAACGAGTTTTCGGAGTTGTTTAAATACAAATATCAAAGATCTAGAGAGTGGTATGGAGATCGACCGTAATTCTCAAGATTTTTATGTGAATAGCTGAATAACATGAAGTACAGAAAACTTATAGAATAGGATAATATTAAGAATCATCAGAATTGAGATTGAGTACTGATCGTTGAAATTATTACAATATTGAATTTTTAACTTCGAAGTTTACAAAAAATAATTTTTGGTCCACAAAATGTGTCCCATCAGCTCAAAGACGATTTCCGATTTTCGAGTTTGTTTAGCTTTCAACGATAAGGCCGACTTATCGAAATTCGAATAAGGTTTTCAAGTACGGTATATTTGAAAAACAGAAATAAATAATATAGACATATTAAAAAACATTTTTTAAAATAATATGGGAACTATAATATGAATTTGAAAATAAGTATTTTATAGATAAATATATAACATTTATATATAAAAGTTTATGCACATTGGAATGAAAACCGGTGTGATGATTTTTTTTTTGAAAAGTATTATTTTAATAAAAATTTAATTTAATGAGAAATGAAATAACAACTATGAGAGGTGAATTTTAAAATGAGTGAGATCAAAAATATTTGTGATTTTTCATAAAAAAAAAATTGAAAAATATGTAATGAGCTATCTACTTCTTGAAAATGTGAAAAAATGGTAAATGGTAATGGTAAAAGTATAAAAAATATAAATTTGCTTAAAAAGAAATGTAAGTGATGTGAGATGAAGAAAAAACATGAAATGCATTTTGATTTTGTAAATGGGGGTTCGCAGAGATTTTTTGCGTGAAATTAAGTTGTGGTGAATTTCTAAAAAAGTGGTAAATTTCTTTATACACCGAATATTGCCTAATTTTTACACTCCCTTGGGTACATTTTACATTTTTTTTATTCTTTTTTTAAATTTCGACTTTTTATTTGATTTGCTGCTCTTCAAAGAGTTCAATTTATTAAGGATTATTGATTATATTAATTATAAAAACTTTGTAGTTGCTATACAAACATTATTTTGTGTATTCATGTTTTACTCAGAATTAAATGTAATCAAAATTGGGGTGTGTTGAGTTCCCAGTGAAAGTGGAAATTTGCTTAATTTTTGGGAAATTTTCGAAGCAAAATGAATTTCATGAAAATAATAACGTCTTTCGGAACTGTTTCTGTTACTACCGTGTATAATTACACCATTTTGTTTGTGTGGGCTGCAAATGTTTTTTTTTTTCGGACACTTCAAGTAGTGGTAAAAAATATTATATTGTTCTACCTGTTTTGGAAACCCATAACCATATTTTAATTGGTACTAAACTACCAGGAATGATTGTGAAAAATTGATTGATTTCCATTGAATAAATGGCAAGTGACAAGAGTTATGAGGGTTTCAAGCGAATTAATGATAATATTTTTTAACTTCTTTCGTAGAAAAAATATTTCAAGTATTAATATTTATTCAGTGACACATTGCGGATGAAATACAATGAAAATTGAGGTGTGGTGAATTTCTGTACAAGGTGGTGAATTTCTTTTTGAACCTTAATTTGTCCATTTTTAATATTTTTTATGTGTTATTAGGGAAATTCTAAATTGATGAAATCCTGGAAATTGATGAGTACCTGCTTAAAAAATGCTGCTTGAGGTGTTCGAGAGCAAATGAGCGAGAATAACGTTCAATTTACAATGACAATGTTAATTTATGTGTCTATATTTTATTCAGCAACTGATTCCGAATGAAATGCGATAAAAATTGAGGTGTGGTGAGTTTCTGAAAAAAGTGGTGAATTTCTTTAAACACTAAATTTTTTTAAATTTTTGGGAAATTTTCGATGAAAAATGTATTTCATGTCACAAATTTAAATGTATTGATTGACTGTATTGATTACTATCCTGTATAATTACACCCAATTCTTTTAAGGGCTGCGAATATATTTGCCTGATTCTGAATGGAATGCAATGAAAACTGAGGTGTGTTGAGTTTCTTAAATAAGTAGTAAATTTCTTTAAATGTTAAGTTCTTCTTAATTTTTGGGAAATTTTCGAAGAAAAATGTATCTTACGTTACAAATTTGAATGTGTCATTGAACTGTATCAATTACAATCCTGTATTATTACAATTCCTTTTATGGTTTGCGAATATATTTGCCGATACTTTTCAAAAAGTACATATCGTTGGTAATAAATATAATATTGTTTTAGCATATTTTGTTGTAAGCCATAACTGTATTGTGATGTGGTTCTAAACTACTTGGAACGATTGTGAAAAAGTGAGTGATTTTTCTTTGAAAATGGATGGCAAACAGTGGTGTGATATGAGGCGTTAATGGCTACAAGGTAAATATGAGAGTGACATCTGCATTATCTCTCTCTCGAGAGACACAAATCTAAATGATGAGTATTGGGTTGATTTTTGGTGAAAACGAAATGCCATGGCGCTGTGTGAAAAATATGCCTTTAAAACATGACCACAAAACAGGTGAGGCTGGTGACATCAGGCCGTTACACCATTTCTCATGATAAGGTAAGATTTCTTTAATGTTTATTTTGGGTGGAGTTTTTTTTTTCTCTTTTTTTTACTTACGAATATTTAGTTTCTTTTTTTATGCGTGATATGCTTGATTATGCGTGCTAACGACACAAAAATAATTGAAAATGAATGGAATTGAAAGGTGGTGGTGTTGTTGTTGTTGGTGGTGGTGGAATTGGTGCACTTGTGATTTGAACTGCATTAAATGAATACGGTTTTTTGTTGGAGAATAAAACTTTTTTGTGTGCTTTTTCTTGAATTTATTTTCTTTTTGGGGTTTGTAATCAAATTTTGGGTTTTTAGAAATTTTAGTCACTATTCTTTTTGTTTCTCAATACCTTTATATTCAGCAAATTGTATAAAACCAATTTTTGTTTTGATTTTGTGTGTTCTTAATTTTTTTGAGTTTTTTTTTCTAAAAAGTTTTGTTTTTGAATTTTCTTTGGTTTTTTTTGGGATGATTTTGTTTTAGTTTGTCTAAAATTTCTCCGATATGCTATAGATGCGTTTAACGCTCACACATTGACGGCGCAGGCGTTCACATTCAATTTCCCGGAAATCAGCATGCGACGAGCTGCACGAGCCCACGGTGAATGTGCGATCTTCGTTGATGTCGTCGTGATCGGAGGTGTAGGGACAGGATTGCAGCGATGCCTCGCCCTGGGTGGAAGATGAATCGGAGACCTCTTCCTCCTCCTCGTCGTCGTCGTCTTCTTCGGAAGAGGAGATTTGATGGGTGGAGTTGAGAGATAACTGTGAACTGTGGTGCTGAGATGGGGAGTTCGTTTGATCTAGATCGTTGTTGTTGTTTTTGTTTTGCAATAAGGCTCTCTTCAAGTCTTGGGCTAGTATACAGCCAGTAGCTGGCGGGGGTTGTTGTGTAATTATGGGTGTGGGGCAGTCAAATGAATTGCGTTGTTGTTGCGTCTGCTGCTGCTGCTGTAGTAAGGGTTGGGTGGTAATGACACCAGCCGGGTTACCCAAAATACTGGCCGATTCTGGGAAGATACGATTATCCGAACCTGATGAGAATTTCGAGAGCAAGGATTTGGAGGAGTTTTTATTCTTTAATTGCTGTTGTTGCAGGTAATAATAGTCACGGGGCAAGGACGAGGTTGCATGCAATTCCTGGGTTTCGTAAACGCTAAGATTGGCAGGACGAAAGCCGGCACCGTCGTCTCCCAGGCCAATACCTCCAACTCCACTTAAACCCACAACACCCGAGTGTAAGGCTGGTGTACTAACGGAATATTGTTGTTGCTGTTGTTCACTATCACGCTGTACCACCTGGGCCTTGAGATCGCTTATGACACTGGCCGTCGATGCGGTCGGTGTGGTCAAGGTGCTGAGATTAAATCCAGCCGCTGCCAATTGGGCACTCAGCAATGGCGTTAAATTCGCCAGAAATTGTTCTTCTTGTTGTTTTTGTCGCTGTTCGTCGAGCTGACGACGATAGGCATCAATTTGATCGCTGGTATTTGGAGTGGCACTATGAATGCATCCTTGAAAGAAATCCAATGCTTCATATAGAATAAAACATAGACCCAGGACAAGAAATGTCTCCATCATAACGAGCTGAGAGCCATTGGGCGCAGAACACAAACACACGGGAGCTCTAAGAAATTAGTTGTGGAATTATTATTTAGAGAGAGAGATTGTTGTGATTTTTGACTTTTGTTTGTTGTAATTTATGTTTGTTGTTGTTTTTTGTTGTTCTTGTATTAAATATTTGGAAAAAAGAGTCTACAAAACACTTTTCTTGCAGAACATTTCGAAAGTAGTAAAGAAATAAGCTTCAAGTGTATCATACAAGTTTTTTTTAAAGAAACTTTTAAAATTCTTTGACGAAATTTGTTGTATTTGGTTTTTGTCTTTTTTTTCATATAAGAAAATGTGCTCGAGAAAAAGCCTAAATTGAATTCGAAAAAAAGTGATTACTGTTAGAAAAATTAAAAAAAAAAATGTAAGTTTTCAAAGCAAAATTGTGAGAAAATTTGCCAAAAAAACGATAAGTGAAAAATAATTAAAACACTACGTGAGAGTATATAAAGATATACATGCATTGGATATGTTGCCAAAAGCAAGGCTCTGCTTGTGTGCATATGGTGGGAAAATAATAGTAATTGCAATAAATATTTAACTAAAATTTCATATATTTTACACTACTGTTTATTGTTTTCTGCTACAGATAGTTTTAAGGGATTTGAGGTCAAAAAATTATTTAATACATTTTATAAAATTAATTCTTGTATATACAAATGTTCGCAGATTGATTCTGAATAAAATTCCGCAAAAAATTAGGTGTGGTGAGTTTTTTAGTTCTAGTGGTGAGTTTTAAAAATCACTAATTTCGAGCTAAATTTTAATGAAAATTAAATTTTAAATTGTATTTAGTAAAAATTTAGGTGTGGCAAGTTTTTCAAACCATGTGGTGAAATTTATACATACTTAATTTGGCCAAAAATATAAGGAAAATGACAGTTCCTTCCATAAAAACTTAAAAAAGTTTTCTGTTGTAAAAATAATTGTAATGATTAAGAGAGATGTGAAAAATATGCTTTAGTGAAGTACGAAGATTTGGTTCCCAGAAAATGAGAATAAATTGCCTAATACATGTCTTTACAATGACATGATATATTGTAAATATTCAGAAATCGATTCTGAATCAAATCCCGTAAAAAATTGGGTGAAAAAATAATTTGCATTAAATTTTAATGAAAATCGAATTTTAAGTTTAATTTATTAAAAATTAAGGAGTGTTAAATTTTCCAAACTTAGTGTCGAAATTGAAATATATTTTATTTAGCCAAAAAAAATTATTGAAAATTCCATCATAAAAACATATAAATGTTTAGAGTTTTGCTTGTTAAAGCGAAGGTCATACTTTTTTTATTTTTCTTTCCAGATGAGCCTTATGATCTGAAATTTAGAAGGAATGAAATGAGAAGGAAAAACAAAGAAAAACTATTGTACACTCACCACTATATTACGCATTAGCCTATTGAGCTACGTAACCAACAAATTTCAGATCATTAAGCTCATCTCGAAAAAATCAATCAAATCAATAATAAGCTCTGGTTACGTAGAAAGACGATTTGCGTCCCAGATGTGTGGGAATAAATTGCTTACAATGGCATAATATATTTGCAAATATTCAGACACAGATTCCAAATGAAATTAAAAAAAAAAAATAGGTGTTGTGAGTTTCTAAGATTAAATGGTGACTTTCAAAAACACAATTTCAATTTTAATGGAAACTCGATTCTAGATCAGGACTAGCCAACCACTACAAACACAAAAACTTCGATTGTGTATATTTCACAAGAGAGCAACATAAAATCAAGCGATGGGACTTCTACCTTCTCTGAAAGCTTAAAAGCTACTGACTGCAATGCAAATTTGTTGTTGGTAAACAAGTGAACAGTTCTTGTGATTTACTGATGCATGGTGAGTTTTATACACAAAACTATGATTGTGTGCGAGGTGTGTTGAATTTCATGTGGGAAAGGTTTTGGCGAGCGAGAAAAAACATATTCGAATATGGATGTTAAAAAAATATCTCGCTAAAATTCCGATGTGGCGAGTTTTTTACCTTAGCGGCCGAAAAAGAACCGAATATGTTTAAAAGCTTGACTATACATTCAAGAACTGACGTTGAAATAAATTCAGAAAAGCTGCTGTGGAGTATTCAAATATTTAGGAATGAGGTGAAAATTTAAATTTTGTTACATTTTAAATGCCAAATTTGTTTTGGTATTGTTAAACAATTCTACATTGATTTCTAACAATACTTAGTGAAAAACAAGGTGTGGTGAAGTTCTATTCGTAGTGGCGAATTTTGATTTTTTTTATTTCTTCAATTTTTTAAGGAAAATTATTTTAACTTGAAATCCAAACAAACTTCAAGCCAAATCAAAGTTTTCAGAGTTCTTATGTGTCGCTATTTTTTTTTTTTTAGAAACTGTAATTTATGCTACCGAAATTTAAAAAATCGTCTTTGAAGATATAAATTTGAACACGGGTGCATTTTTCGCAGTTTATGAGCGTTTGACATGTTGTGGACCAATATCTACCATATTCACATCAGATCTTGATTTAGTAGATTTGCCAAGAGCAAAGGATTCTTATATGTTGTGCTATATTTATGTATTCAAAATTTTGACCCCTTGTAGGAAAGGTGCCAGAAGACATGGTTCGTTCTATTCTATATTCAAACCAGTGCTAATGTAGGTAAAAGTATTGCGATGTGCGAGATCTGAAGACAATCGAACTCTTATTTCGCGTTTATAAAAGAGTTATAAATATTCAACATTTTGACCCCTTTGTGGGGTAGGTACCAGAAGGAGTAGTCTTACATATTTTATATTCGCACCTGATTATGTGTTGATAAAAAAATTGGAATCTGGGAATTATGAAACTAATCCGATGCCCATTTTGCGATTTATGAACTTCATAGTTATTCACAATTTTGATCCCTTTGTGTGCGTGTGTGTGTGTGTGGGGGGGGGGGGGTGTACCAGAAGGATTGGATCCATATATCCCGTCTTCACACCAGACCTTGTATTAACAAAAATATTTTATAAGAGGTCTAATTATTCCAAATTTTGGAACATTGTGGCCGAACCTGACATAGCACTGCAAAAATATTAGAATTTGCAAAATATTCTCAAATTTGGGTAATCCTTTCTTGATCTATAAGGCAAATTAATTTCACTGAAAATGTTGTGGGGGAGGCACTAAGAAGAGTGGTCCGATGTTGAACATCTCCGATCTCAATCGAAGTGTGACAATTATATTACGGTGCACCAAGTTTGGATCAAATCGGATATTCCATTCAAGAGTTATAGAGCGCACAAGCCAGCAAGACAGAATGCCACCCTATCGACTCCAACTGCCCCTGAAATGAGACGTAGGGTCAAAAAAAAAAAAAAAAAAAAGGAAACGAAATAGACCCATAGTTCCTTTTGATGATCTGCATAGAATCACGTCCTGAGTCGATTTATGCATGTCCGTCCGTCCGTCTGTCCATGTATTTTTGTAAACAAAGCACAGTTCGCATTTATTGTCCTATCCAGATGAAATTTTGCACAGATCATTTGTTTGGCCCAAGGACGAACCCTATTGAAATTTGAGATAATCGGTCAAAATTTAGATATAGCTCCCATATATATCTTCATCCGATTTGCTTTTTATTGTGCACCAAACGTCCAATATTTGCCAAATGGGATGGAATTTGGCACATACGACCGAATTGAGTCAAGAAGGTAGTATGCCAAATTTGGTGAAGATCGGTTCAGATATAGCTATAGCTCCCATATATACTGTTCATCCGATTTGTTATATTTGTTACCCACAACTGCAATATGCACTCCATAACAACGATATTCAGGGAAAAATATCAAATACAGCTCAGAAATATCTTTGCCAAATTTTATTGAAATCGGTTCCGATTTGGATATAGCTCCAATATATATCATTATCTGATTTCAAATTAATTGTGCACCAAATGGGCAATACAAGTCCGAATTTAAAAGATACAAATGCTTCGGCATATATAGTCCTTTGAACTTTAAATTATAAATTTGATTATTATAATTATAGCGTGTATGTTGAGATATCCCATTAAAACGTTTAATTGTTATGCGGAGCTCTACTAAATTAGCAAAGTGGCATAGGGTATCTTTCTTTACTTTTTTTTTTTTTTTTTTTTGAAAAAATTTAAAAATATGTTTTGCAGGTTGATCGCACTGAAAATTAGAACATTTGTGCCGGTAGACAACAATTTTTGAAAGCAATCAACAATTTGAGGATGTACTAAAATCCATTCGTAAGTAATGTAGAGTAAAATAATTGAAATTTTGGAAGAAATTAAAAGGCTTCGTAAATTAAAAAAAACCTGGTCGAAACCCGCAATTTTTGGCATTTAATGCGCATGTAAAGTTTTGAAAACTATTTCCATTGATTTATAATACTGCACTTTTCGGGCGCTTCAAAAAGTGATGTGGGGAATTAGACATTTGAAGTATGAAGCATGCTTTTTGGCTGAGGTACAGATGAGTGGATGCCTGAATTTTTGGTTATTAAATTAATTACAATATTAACTTAAAAATATTTCAACACATATTAAATTGTACTGAAATTCAATTTTATCCAAATATATAGCACACATTTAGGTGCTCCATATTTGAAATGAAATTAGATTGAACAATTTTGTCCGTTTTAATTTTTTTCAAATTTCGTTTTTGTTCCCCAACATGAATTACCAACCCCCCCCCCCCTTGTTTTCTCCCCCAAAGCCCCAGAGCATACCTTAGCCATAATATTAAACTAGACATTCCCTTGCACACCCCACAAAAAAAAATGAGGGTAGTTCATTTTTATCTATACAAATTAAATTTGATGGAAATTATCTCTAAAACACCTAGAAAATTGCCAGAGCTTCAGTTTAAATGATTTTACAAATTTCCCCTGCAATTTGGTAATGAGGAAATGGGGCAAAAAGGCAAGAGGAAATTTGATGATGTCGGTTATGTGGGTGGGGGGGTGGTTGGCAAAAATATATTTTGATATCCCAGTAAAATACAGGAAACGGAAATGAGACACACATACATACATATATGCCCACCAACAAAATGAAAAAAAAAAAAAGATTGGAAAATGTTATACCCAAGCCATGTTGGGTCTAGCCAACCAACCAGCCATCCTTATCCTGCTTCTTCCGGCATTTAAACAGCTCAACTGTTAAATGTTCTGGTAAATAGTCACTAGGGTAAGAGATTTACATTTTACTAAGCCTATTAATTTCTATGAAATATTCAAATTTCTTGCATACCAACCTCCAAACAAAGTGGATTCAATGATTCCAAGGGGGACAACAAGGTAGGTGAGAGGAGATGAAAGAAACGAGAATCTTAATAACCTGAAAATTTTAATTTACACAGGATGATGATGAAGAAGAAGTAGTCGGAGCACCTGCTGCTGCCGCCGGTGTTGTTGCTCCTGGTTCGGTTTGAACTTTAAAATTTTAATGGTAAATTTGATTTTGGCTTGGTTTTTGTGGTAATTTGTAATGG